GGGGGAGCAGGTGGGGAGGGCAGGGGTCCCCCCATAGTCCCCATCCCCCTCCTTCAGCCCCCACAACCCCTTACTTACGGCACTGGAGCCCTGGTGCTGCAGCAGCTGTTTCAGCACTAAGGCGAGGGGCCTACCAGAGAGCATCCATGGAGGACCCAGCCCCCGGTTGCCTCTGGTTGCCTGCCCCCCTTTTTTTAACTAAATTTTTTGTAGACCCCTAGATATTCAAGTTTTCTCCCTGCTCTGCAAGTTTGCAGCACCACAAACATTTTTTTGTTTCTGCACATGTTTCTTGCCCCATCTCAAAGGGGTTTGAGGCAGGGCAAGAGGCACATGTTCGTCTCGATGTGACCTCTGTGTACTTATCAGCTTCCTTTAAAGGTAGACAGAAACTCTGAGTGGGCTACACTTGCGTTATGTTTTTGCAGTGCTAACAGCCATAGGGCTCTGATTTCAGACTGATTGTCTATGATGCTACTGAAATACAGATGGTAATGAAGCAGTGGGTAGAACAGTTCCGCCATAAAAGGAACCTGTGGCCCAAAATGGGCAGAATGTCTATTGGATGCCCAGAATGTAGGCGGATTGGTTTTAGGGTCATTCATACTTTCTCCTGTCTTGGGAGGTCTAGGTTTATGTACAGATTATAGGGGTTGCAAGAAGACAACCAGGAGCCACCATGGTCTTATCCATACTACAGAACCACAGTTTAGTCTGACTCAGCTGGCAGTGGCTACTTGGGAGAGGACAAGACGAATTAAATTTATTTCAACACAGGCTAAGCTTCCCAGGCCACAGGCTCTTGCATCTTAACAAGATCTTGTACCTGTTAAAGTACAATTTGGCTAGCTCCACCATGGGTTTTAGAAGATCATTTGAACATAAAGAGGTAGTTAGCCATGATAGTTTGAAGTCAGGCAGAAGGCAGGGTAGATTTTAACTTTATAGATGAACGGAGGTGCATAAGCTTTTATAAGCAGCACAGCATCTCATGAAGTAGGCTGTTGCTTATGGAAGTGTATGCGTTTTTGATTCAGTTAGTCTAGAAGGTGCAAATCTGCCCTGCCTTCTGCCATATTAACAGGATCTAACACACCTTTAAATACCAGTCAAAATGGAATCTCTGCATGTGTGGGAGGTGACCTGAAGTTAAAATTTTTAGCATCTGCTATGAGTCCACTATGAGTCCTGGAGACTGAAGTCTTTCCTCTACCCACTAAACAGGTACAACATGGGCCAACTCTGCCCCTGCTGCCCTGCCAGGGCACCTTAGCTTTTCTCTGGATGAAGAAAGAGGAGAATGGGCCAACTACCTGGGGTGTCTTTTGCCTCTGCACAGACTGGCAACAGGGGCTTATGTGGAAACGTGTATATAGGGAACTGGATTGACATTAAAATAGAAGTTTAGAACCAGAATTATGGAGGTACTAGCTGTACCCCCCAGAGCTGCCATGGAGCTGAGACTGATATTAGGAGCGATACAACCTTTTAAATACTCTGAGCAAAAGCAGGTTCAGTAGAGATGCACAATACAAGAATAAATGTATGCATGCTGCCAGGATAGCAAAAAAAGCAAGATCCTTGAGTAAAGAGATAGGATAAAATTGCTTGGATGTCTATGAAAATTTGCATTCTGACTTTTTACAGAAGGCCCCTCTGAGTTCTGTTTTAAATATCTTGTCCTCAAGGTTAAGCTTTAAACAGACTGTGCTCAACATGTTTTACAAAAAGGTTTGTGTTTTAAGCAAATAAGGGAGCTTTGGTGTTCTCCTTTTCAATTCAGATTAAACAATGTATCAAACTGATTAAATGGATACATTTTGGGGAAGTATCTTGTAGCCTCTCTGTTTTGCATTTGCTGATTTAAGTCTTGTTGGGAGGAACAAAGGAAGGAAGCAGAAGTCATTGTGGTTGCATATGTTTTTTTGCATCTTGCATTGTACTTTACCTGGAAAACTTCTCTATTTTAATGCCTGTTAGAAAGTTGCTGATAAAAGGCATAATATAAAAATGCTTGTTTGACTTTTAAGATTTCTAGTACCATCTGCAAACCAGCCTAGTCTTAATTAGGTGCATAATTCTGACTGCAGGGAATCAAGTCTAGGAAATTTTAGCCAAATTTATACTACATTGCTTCCTGATTCAGTGATTCTCAACAAGGTTGTTGGAGCATTGTTAGATGTCCAAACCCGATTCACAAGATAACCTCAGAGATTTCAAATGGGAATCTGTAGTGTGAAAAACATGGTGACCTGTTGTGGTCTTTCTGAGTTCTTTGCTACAGAAGACTTACTCTAGTATTTTTTTTCTGTAATCAAAGAACAAGTGAAAACTAAGAGCTGGTATTTTTGAGGGGTGCCTTGAGCCTGACAAGGGGTACTTGGAGTCTTAAAAACTTGAGAACCACTGTTTTGCTTAGAGTAAGTTCTTGCCTAGACAGGAAGACTGCTTGCAGACATTAAAAAAATAATAATAATAACAAAAATGACACTTTACTTTAAACTTGACATGCCTGCACCAAGTCCAGCACATGTCCAGAAGAGGCAACGTGTTAATTGGACCCAGCTCGCCCAGCGTCTGTATAGTTCAGGTGCTTTTGTGGGGCTTTTTTGGCACTTTTATTTAATTGCTAATTGACTCAGTTTTAGATAAAAGTGCCACAAAGCCCGGCTGAAGCACCCAATCTGTACAGATGCTGCAGAGCTGGGTCAAAGTAATGCGCTGCTTCCACTAAAGCACATTTTTGTTTTGGGGGGTTGGGGGAGTTGTTTGTTTGTTTTTTTTTAACATCTGCAAGCAGCTGAAAAGTTTTACCAGGATATTCTGGCATATGGACACTTATGCTAATAAAATCAGGATGAGATTGTGTTTGTTTGTTTGCTTTTGTTTTAGCTTATGGATGGGATTTAAGTAAAAAAAAAAAAAAAAAAAAAAAAA